CTTTTCTATGCTTCATCTTCACTTCATCTAAAAGCTTTATTTTACTATATCTCCACTTAACAGTGTACAGTAGTTTTTATATGTCAACTTTAGCTTTTGAAGTGGTGTCTTGGATGAGATTAATTCCATGCATAAAATCATTTGCATTTTCTAGAATGGGGAGGTTATGGTTTCTTACCTAATAACGCAGTTCACTGAACATTCTGTTTCATAATATTGGTGGTTTACGGGCTCAGTGTGTGGGTGTTTTGTTTGGGTGGTTTGTTTTTTTGTTTTTTGTTTGTTTTTTCAGATTGTTATTTATAAAATATTTACTTTGTTGTCCTAGTTCTTAATTGCTTTGGCATTTTTTATAGCATCTTTCAATGAGTTTTCGGTAATCTTTTAACTTATTAATACACAATGTATCTACACAGGGAGAATTTGTTTTTAAAGTTTTACTTGGATAGCCATGTTAACCTCATGTTAATAATGTCATTGTCATTCAAAAACAATGTCTTGCTTCTAAGGTCTTGTCTTGATAAATTGCTTCCATCAACAGTGTGGTCCTACCTGTTTGGGATTCCCAAGTGCCACTGGAGAGAGCAGATCACAACCATAAATGATGGAATCTGAAAGACTGAATAAAATTTTGTTTATATTTCAGTATTGTATTTCATTTTATATTTCACAAGTTATTTACAACAGTAATAATTTTCACTTGCAGATAATAACCTGCATTTATAAGGCTTTCAAAACTTCTTCATTGATTTATGATATTGAGATTTGGAAATATGGTCGGATATTTTCTTGCAACCTGAGAATTTTGTGAGCACTGTATTAAAAGGTGATTTAAAGAGGAGGACTAATAACACTATTAAAAAACTGGCAGACTCTAGAAAAATACGTTATTTAATCTGTTATTTGTTGACCTGTTTTACTACTATTTTTTAGGTCAGTATAACACTTCCCTCTGAGGCTGTGGGTTGGATGTTGTTATTAAATAGTGCGGCACAGATGACAGGTACCAGAAATAAAGTAGCGCAAATTCAAAATGATGCTGATGTTTGCACCTGTGAGAAATCCATCGTATATCAGGCCAGATATTACTCACAGACTTGCTCACAAAACTCCCTTTTTGCTTTTAGGAGTTGATTTTGTAGTGCTGGCTTGATGTATTTTAACTTCAGCTTGCTTTGTGTTTAAGAAACTAGCTTTAGGCTATAACTATATAATGTAGCAGCCTTCACAGAACTGTTGCTTTGCTGAGTTTACTTGGTGCCACCCTGCCAAGATGTACTACTGCAGCAGTGATGGTGATGGGCAGCTGTCCCCGCGTTGAGTGGGGTCTTTGCTTGGAAGAGGCAGGATGCTGCAGTGCAGGGGAAAGCAGGAGCCTGCTCATCCAGCTCTGCTGTTGGACTTCCCTCCCACCGCTTCCCTCTGCTTTCAGGGAGGCTGCAGCCTGTGTTCACCAGCCTCTCAAGAGGGCTGTAAAGTGCAGCAGTTTTTTTACAGTTCTAGCAAATTTAAACAGTTGCTGGTGCTTTTTTTCCTGAGATTGTTGACACTCTTAAGTGAATTTATTGCAGTAAACCCATTAAGAGTTAATGAAAACGTTACAGTAAAATCTCATTCAGCACTTAGGAAATTGCCTGATAGCCCCTTACAGCTTATTGATTTTTAGTATGGACCAGTCCAGAAACGCTGAGCCATCTTCTTGGGTCATCAGTTGGTATGAGTTTAGATGCATAATCTTCCATTATCAGAACTGTGCTATGACTGTTTGAGACTTGTGAGTAAAATGATGTCCATGTCTTAGTTGACTGTCATCAACTCAGCCTTTCAGCCTGCCAGTACTGAGTGTTGGTCCTTCCCGTATACTGGCAGAATAAAGTGCACCCGTCATGTTACACGAGGTCTTTTTTGCTCAGTTGTCTCCATGCCCTGTGGGAGATGCAAGTCTCTGTCTCCTAAAAACATGTACAGGGAAAGCCAGTTGAAACAATCTGTCTAGTTTGATCATACAAGATTGGAATAGATGCAGAAATCCCATGCTACTTTACAGCTGGGTTTTGTAGCTGTTAACCACTGGCAAGTTGATTTAGATTGTTACCACGATAATTCTGAGCATTTTTTCCTGAGATTTGGACATAATTAGGTAAAGCTTAATAGGTTTTAACAACTAGAAGAGGCTTTAGTCACCTTAAGGCTTAGTCTGCATTAGTTTTTATTAAGGTTATGACCTTTGTTGTAGACTAAAAGAAATTCAAGACTGACTTCCAGCCACAGTTGCAAGTATGCTCTTGGAGAGTTCGTTATATTTTGTGTGGCAAGTAGTCCAGTCAGGTGAAATAATGATTGCAAAATGCCAGAAGGAATGTCTTTAGTACTACTAACACTGTACCTTTTGAGTTGTCGTTATCTTTGGTAGACCAAGTTTGAGTAGACTGTATTAGTGACTCAGAGGCTGTGAATGCAAATAAAGGTCCTGGTAGCATAGGTTAAGGTTTTGGCGAATTCAGTTGGTTTTTTGTTGTTGATATAAGTTATATGGAAATAATAGAAAAACAAGACAATTTTAATCTGTTCCTTACTTAGCTACGACAGAAAAAAGAGTTTAATAAACTAGAGAGGGTATAACTGAGATACCCACACAGCATATTCCTTCTCCATGAGATCAGAGAAATGCTACTTTTAATTTGTCTGGAACAGATCCACAGGAATTGTTATTGATTTCTTCTTGAGGTTTGTTATCTTTGATGTTCTGAGTACATTATGACATTAAGACTAAGTTGTGAGACTTAGTGAATTTAATACTTGGCCTTTATTATAGTTTTCTATAAAGGTTTCTCTACAAGTCATTTTGCAATTAACTTTTCATGTAAAAGTAAATGGCACAATAGATGTGACCTACTTTGCAATGTTTCAAAAGAAAATCCTCTTTTTAATAAGCAGTGTTTAATAAATATTATTTGCCATTCCTTTTAACTGAATTTTAAAAATCAAGTAGTACTCACTGTAGAAGAGGTGGGATTCGTTTTCTCTCTTTCACATAATATACTGCCTCTAAGGGGTTTTCTAATTATTTTTATTACTCCAAAGTAACTTTACAAATGAAAGGTTTTTGTGCTGAGGTTTTGTACCGTCTTTTACTTACTACATCACATGCCATCACAGCAGTTTTTGAAGTCCCTGAACAGCTGTTCTTATGGGATCTTCTTTTTTGGCTTAACTGCCTAATTAATCTGTCCCAAAGTTAGCAGTACTTTTTGACCGATGTTTCTATCTCGGTATCTGGTTTGTTTTTTGGTTTTTTTAATTTGTTTTTTAACTTTTGTGCCCTTATCATTGTCTCTGAAAGTATCTCATAACTTTTTGCTCTCCATTTTTTTCATAGAATTACAATTTGCCTTGCAACATGTTTTAGGATTTTCAACTTGTCAAACTTGAATATTGCTTTATTTAACCTGAACATTTTACTTTACCTCCTTAAAACTACTGTATCAGCTTGCTTTATCCATGTTTAGTCAGTAGGTTAGTTTGGGGGAAGAGTAATTTTGAAATGTGTCTCCCAAGTGTCCCCACTTTAGTGTGCTTTGGTTTGCATTGCAGAGGAGTCTTGGCGTGAGTGAATTTGATTCCTTCTGAATGAAAACAGGTTGGAAGAGATGCTCCAGATGTGCACCAGACATGTACCACTCACTAACGGTCATTCAGTCCGTGGCATCAGCTGTTTTTGTCATGGCTAGCTCTAGTTAGAAATGCAGTAGCCATGTTAGCTCAGAACCAACTTGTTTGTTTTACAAGTGCACTTGTCTTTGGCTGCGTTACTTGCTGATGCAGATGTGGCCTGTGAACTTGGCTATGAGTGCTGAGTTAGAGCCATTGGTAGTTTAATTTAAAGTGTTCTTTTTATTCACAGCGAGTTCTTCACTAAGAAAGGAGATACCTGGTTTGACACATTTTATAGGTTTGGGGTTTTTTCTGCAGAAGGTTTTTTGTCTTCCTATTTCAAACCTCTTTCGTACACAAGTGTGGATGTTTGTTCCTGTAGTTGCTTACTATCAAATATGTGCATTTTGTTGGAAATATGTGTGAGTATAATATATAGGAGTATATATGAGTATAATATATATGAGAAATATGTGTGAGGAGATATTTCTGCTAATTTTTTCATATTTCTGTATATATTTAAAAAAATCATAAATAATTTGTGATTTACAGATATGAATGCTGCTTTTGATGTATAGTGACTTACTCGCATGTGTTGTTTCTCATTTTTACTGTCTGGATTTGGCCCAAGTATAGACAACTAGCAGATTCAGTTTATAAGGTTTTACATCTGTCTAGATGATACCAACAAAGCAATTTACAGTTTATCACAGTAAAGGTTATTTTGATACGAATTTTTTACTCTCAAGTTGAAAAAACATGAAATCACCTTATGTCTGAGAATCCAGACATTCCTTTCCATGAAACCACCTTAAAATTCAATCCAAGTCCAGACTACTTCACTAAACAAGCAGACATTTGCCCATGTGTGAGTAAGTACAAGTAGCATGTTCTGTGGTGAGCTGGATGGATGGATTGGGTCAACTAATATCTCTTCTTGCTCCAAGGGGCAATCAGCTATACCTAATGTTGATTAACTACTAATCTGTTCTTTAAAGACATCCAGAAATTGATGTTCCAGTACTTGTCTGTTCTTAAAATCACAAAGCATGTTTTTCCAAGTGTTCAGCTTACATATCCTGTATCTCAAATGCAGTTATACTCCCCATTTCTGCAGCAGCACGGAGAATAGTTTATTCTTTTCCTCTTAGAACATTGGTGTGTAATATACTGCTACAGGTGTTACTGTGCAGATATTTTGGGGGGGTTCTAAAAATGTTGGTGACTTTGAAGGAGTTTTCAGTTGTTTTGGTTTTCTTGGCATAACATACTGTTGCAAACTTTCAGAGCTAGATAACACAGTATCTTTGTGTCTTTAATAGCCTTTTATTCTTCTTATATTTTAGATGCTGGCATCACCATCAACATCAGGTCAGCTGTCTCAGTTTGGGGCAAGTTTATACGGGCAACAAAGTAAGAATTCTTTTTATTGGTGATATGTTTATTTTATGCTAAATATGTTACAGTTGCACACTCTGGATAGAGAATATGCAGGTGGCTTTGTTTTCTGGGATTGTAAACAGGACAGTATGTCATTTACCTTATGTGCAGTTATTTTAATTTTTTTAAGATATATTTTACTTTGCTTAATATGCATTTTTGCAGTGTTTAGGATGCAAAGTGTCATATATTGACACTGTATAGCTGTTAAATATCCAAATATAACCATGCTATAAAAAATGTCTATGATTTAACCGTGACTCTCTGGAGGAAAATGTAAAGAAAGTGACCTGGGCCAAAATGAGCCTAGTTCAGAAAAATATGTAAAAAATCGAAGGAAATTATACCTTCAGTATAACTGATATTTCATGCTCTACTGGAGCACATTGAATCTTGTGTATGTGCTTGGCAACTTGCATTTGGCAAAGATTTGGCCAGTAAGATTATTACCTTCTGCACCACTGTTTTTTTCTTTCCTGTACCTTGGAGGTTTCATCTGTATTTGCCCGTCTTGTGGACACAGTTGCAATAGAAGACCCTTAGAGCAACAGTCACATGAATGCAAACCTAGGACCAGTGTTGAGATCTGAAGCTCCTTGTAACTGAGAGGTGCATTCAGACAGTGACTCAGAATATCTGAGTTAGGTACAATTCCACAAGTAAAACTGGTTGTGAGCATCATCTCTCCTGTGTCACTGTATGGTTTTGAATGTTTTCAGCTGTTTTGCCAAGTGCTTCTGACTCAGATTCTGACTCAGATTCTTTAAAAAATTGTCTTCAGAGTACTTTAGAGGGTCTGGACTTTTGTCCGGACAAACTAAAAGCTTTGTTTGCTAGATGCATGGCCTTCCCAATTTCTTTCAGCTTTCTTCAAGTAGCTTCTTAAAAAATCTAGTGGGTTTTGGTTTTTGTTGGTTTCTTTTTTGTTGAAGGGTTTGCTTTCCTGTCTCAGTGGCCATTGATGAGTGACCGTATAATATAAACTGGCATTTGACTATGCTACTGAGATTTATATGAGCAGCTTCTAGCCAGTCTGAGAGTCTTGTTTGGGTCTTGTCTTTTGGGTCCTGATTCTGGCACTATTGGATCTTTAAAATTTAATTATCTACGGATACTGAAATAGTTTATTCATTCTGTTTGTCAGTTATTTGTTGTTTATTTTTAAGGTCAACTTTTTTTGTCAATTTCGTTACTCATAGAGTTGGTTGTGGTACCTAGGATGTAATCTCTAACACGGAGGCATACTTGGCTGAAAACTTATAAGTAAATATTATCAGATGTCAATTTCTAACATATCTTGAGGAGAAGCAGCAAGAAACTTCTGTGTTGAAGTCATGCTTATGATTAAAATAGTTCTAGGAAAAACAAAGCTGATAATGGCTATGCACTTTTAATGATTGGTAGCTGTCAGTCATCAAGCAAGATGTCATTTATAGTGTTAACGTAACTTAAACATAAAATTAGGAAGGAAACTGGCCATTTCGTTGATCAGCCTCCAACATACAGATCTCTTGTCTCAGTTAGAAAACTGGAAAAAGTAAGAAAAATGTAGGGCTTTTTCTCAGTGACTATTTCAACTGCCCCTCCTTGCCAGAAATATGGTTTTACTTTACTGTAACATTGCTAATCATTAAAAATTCTAGTTTGAAGGAAACCAACAAGAAGAAATAACCATCAATGTAAAACTGACTTTGCTAAAACAAATGCTTGCACAACATTAACTTGAATATTGTAATAATGGTTTTTTGGTGTGCTGTGTCTAGTTTAAAATTGTATGTATTTTTTCTGTACCATGTTATTTTTAAAATTCCATGTAATTGTTAATCAGCATGAAATATTATTTATAATATATATTTATGCTCATTGAAATTATTCTGATGCAGCAAATTGCCAAAATATTTACAGTGAACACCTTGATATAATCAACTTTTAATGAAGTGTTAGGATGCTTGTAATAGCAAGGTATACTAGCTCTTAATCTGAATGCATTGAGATAGATTTGAGTGTTATAAATACTTCGAGTTTTGTTACAAACTTTTTGGGTTGCAAATTGTAGGATAGGACACAGACACCAGTTCTTAAAGCGTGAGAGCTAGGTGACTGGGAGGTTTCTTCAGACCTTGTCTTGATAGTAATTTGAACATACGCTATGTCTGTTTTTTGCATTCTTAGTATTTAATCACATTATACAATGGCATATTCAGCTCTTCTGTAGGGGTGATCTACCATGGGAGAGTGCTGATACATCATAATTTTCTTTTGTTTGGTCTGCAGGATAAGGTTTTGAGTTCTGTGAGTCTCCCTCAGCAGCTATATGCCAACGCAATAGGAACTGTCACGGTTATCGCATTTTATATGCTAAGTTTGTTCCTATTGCTGTGTTGCACTAAATGAGTTTTTCTTGTCTTTGAGCATAATTCTGAAACTTAATAAACACAGAAAAGCAATACGAGAATGATGAGAAACTTCATAAACCTCTTGGACATTTTGAGACAGGGCAGTAACAGGTTATTTTCTGCTGTTCTGGATTGAAGTAATTTATTTTTTTACCTCACTGAAAAAAGTGTGGGGAAAAAAAGTTTGCCTTATTCTGTCACACAGTTGTTTGTATAGAAAATATTTTTTATCACAATGTTAGAACTCTTCTGTATGTTTTTAAATGCAAATTAGAAGGCATTTAAAATTCTGCTTGCTTTCTTTTCTCAAAAGGTCAAACTTGACTTGATCGTGGACACTGAAGTACTGTTGCTATAAAGAAGCAACTTAACCTGTAAAGAGAGAATTGGCCTAAAATGTTGCTTTTGTTGTCCTGAAAACAATGTTACTGTTCAATAAATAGCCATCACTTCCTTTTTTTTTTTTTATTAAAGATTTGCCTTATTTTTAGCAAAACAAATCAGTGTTCTAAATACTGGCCAAATATATAAATACCAATTAGCATATTTCTTGAGTGCAGTTGCTAATTTTCCCAAAATGCTGCCCTTTTTTGAGATAATTTATAGATTTTCATGTCTCATCAAAAAACTCAAAACTCAACCTTTTATCTACAGTTTTACATCTCAAAGGAAACAAAATTTTGTTAGTGGCTTCGAATACAGAAATTTCTCAAAGAGCCTATCTAAAGTTAAACAGAAACGGGGCTGAATTTGATAATTGGGATTCCAGTATGCGAACAAGGACTTAGTTTTTACACTGTACTTTCCTTCAGTCTTCACATGTTTTGGTACGTTGTCAGCATAAGTTGTTTCCATCTACACCTGATGGAGAAAACTTTGTTCCTGATTGCTCTGTATCTCCACCCCTCTGAATTTTTTTTCAATAGGTGCACTAGGCCTTCCAATGAGGGGAATGAGCAACAATACCCCTCAGTTAAATCGCAGCTTATCACAAGGCACTCAGTTACCGAGCCACGTAACGCCAACAACAGGGGTACCAACAATGTCACTTCACACGCCTCCATCTCCGAGCAGGTATTTATTGATAGCCAATATTTCTGCAATTGTGTCTTTTTGCAGAGCTCTTGTTAAATGGTCTGCATATTTTGCCTCAGCTACTTTACAGTCTGATAAATCAAAAAAGAAGAAAAGTAGTTTCTTATGGACCACTACCTTTGTTAGGGAAATAATACAGTAAAATAGTAAGGATTTACTGTAAGACATTATTTCATTTTTGTATATAAAGGACAAATTGCAGGCAAATTCTGCTTCAGAATGTAAGAGGTTGTTATTTGATTGTTCAGGTAAATGTACAGTTAAAATTTTTATGATGTCATACACTATGTAAGAATATTAAGTTAGTAGGTCTGAAACTCTCATTAAAAAAGGAGTTGTAACACCTTTTCATATTTAGAATACTTAAGTATTTATGTAAACCAGACCAAGGACTTGATTAGCATGTTATGGGTCATCTGGTGTTTCTGAAGAAATCCAGAACTGCATTAATTATAGAGAGTGATCTAAACATACTGTTTGGTCACTTAAGTGCAAATTAAATTGCAACAACTCAGAGTCTATCCTGCATTAGTAATGTAAATGAGTAGCCAAATACTGTTGTACAGATTCATCTCTGTGGATGGTTTTTCTCTTTCAGGGGGATATTGCCTATGAATCCTAGGAATATGATGAACCACTCCCAGGTTGGTCAGGGCATTGGAATTCCCAGCAGGACAAACAGCATGAGCAGTTCAGGGTTAGGCAGCCCCAACAGAAGCTCTCCAAGCATAATATGTATGCCAAAGCAGCAACCCTCTCGACAACCTTTTACTGTGAACAGGTAAGGCTCTTTAGTTGGACCATCCCTGTACAGACATGTACATACTACTGAGGAAGTGTAATTTTTATCCATTAGAATAAATCTCAAAAACTGCTTCGTGTGTTCATTAGGCTTCAGCTGTGTTTTGGTGCTATGTTTATGCTTCCTTCATACTGATAAACTTGTAGTAAGTACTGTCTTAGTTCTAATTATTTAATGTGTGTAGTCACAGCTTTGCATGGCTGACTGCTTTGTTCCATGACCTCATGATTGCTGTGCTCCCAGTTTTGTCCTTTTTCTCCCTTCAGACCCTTCCTTAGGGGAGTGGCTCTTAGAGGAGCACAAACTTGCTAATGCAGTCAGGTGCCATCTCTTACCCAATATTCTACAAAATAGATAAAGGAAGGTGAAAACTAATGTCACAGTTATCTGAATCTTAATCAGGCTACTTAGTTTTGTAGTTGCACACTGATATAGGCATACAGATGCTTTTCTCAGTGATCACAGCAATAGCAATTCAGTGATAGCAGTTCATGTTCTTGGAGTGTGAGAAGACTTTGTGTCTTGCCTCTGATTACATAGAATTTGCCTTTTCTGTCCTGTATAGCGTCAAGTAGAGGAGAGGATAATTTTAAAAGATAATGTCATATTTTAAAGTGGTTTTGACATTTGAAGTCACAGAAGGTTGAAATAGTAACATACATAAAAACTGTACATGCAGAGGACAATTATATTGGATATTGATACATGTGTAGAAATTATGTGTTTAAATTTCATTGAGCTGTCAGGGAAAATAATGAAATCCCTGTCTGTAGGAGCATTTGAATTACAATCCTCGTATTTCACTGTTTCATTGTATATTTAACTTTCAAGAAGCTACAGTTTTTACAAGTTGAGAAGGAAGTATCTCTTTTACAATGACGGGTTCTTATTCTACAGTTTATTAGGCTACATAAGTATGTAGTATATAGTAGTAGTACAATATCCAATTGCTAATAGATACATTTAGCAATATTTTGAAATCATTATTGGGAAAAAAATTATGGTGTTTCCTTGTCAGGTGCATGAATTATGTGACTTTCAAGAAGTATTTTCTGAATAGTTGCTTAGTTGGAGCATTGAATATTTTTAGGTTAGGTTTTTGAACATGAAGCAATTCAGGATATTTCAAATTAGAGTGAAATGCTTCAGATTTGTAACTGTGAGAAAAGTTTGTGTGATTTCCACTGGGAAAGCATTTCTTTTTCTTTTAATGGAAACTTCTAAAATAGCAACTTCCATCCTGTTACCGAGGAAAAGCAAATGTTGTGATTTCCCACAGGGTAGACACTCAGAATTTTACTCAGCTGGGGGCCTACCTTTGAGCTTCTCAACATCTCCAGCTCTCGTGGAATGAGGCAGATTATATGTCGGGGATGTCTTTCCAACCACACTAGACCTATATGATATTTAGATGTTTTTAGATATTTTTACCTGACTGTATGAAACTTTAGCCTGTGTCCTTGTATGACAGAGACCATCCCTATGCTCATAGTAGTGCCATGTGTACCTGGTGGTGATTACACACTGTAACCATTCAGGTTATGAATGAGTCATGACAAACTTGATCACTTTCATGATCCAGCTTCCCACCTGCAAACGAATGGATTACAGTCTGACTTTTTAACTACTGCATTTATTGCTGCTTCATTTTTCTGTATGAAATTACTGAGTAATGATTGTGTTTGTCGTAACCTGTTGGTTGACAGATGTCTTCAGAGACGGTGGCTATTAAAAAAATTAGCTGTTTTGAAGTCATTCTAGTTGACTTGATTGAGCGGTGCCTGTTGCTGCTGCTCAGAGTTTTCAGAAGTATAAAGGAAAAGAATTAAAACATGAGTTTAGGCTAATATGGGTTGCTTGAACTTGAAATAATTTAAATGTCATAGGGGTTTTTTTTCCCCACCATAATACCTTCCACTGGAAATTACAAAGTACGTATACCCTTTTGTCTGACTTCGTGGGTTTTTTTCACAGTATGTCTGGATTTGGGATGAACAGAAATCAGGCATTTGGAATGAATAACTCCTTATCAAGTAACATTTTTAATGGAACGGGTGAGTTTACTCTGTTTAATGTTGATCTTAAACTACAGTAGAGAGATTTTTTTTGACTAAATAAGTCTAATTGAAAAAACTTTGTTATGTTGGAGTGCAATTTTCTTAAAATTTTCAATTGTTTCATAGAAACGCTGCTCCAAGAGCAGTACTAGCAAACTGTTACTACTTCATAGCAGTGGATTTTAAAACTTTTGAAGACAAAGTACTCTGTAGTATACTCGCTCTATATCATCACGTGGTAATAGATTATATCTAGTTGGTTAGAAATGCAAAATAGCTCATGGAATTGATGAGATCAGAGAAGAAAAGATTATCCATTTTCTGTGAAAACATTAGATACATAAAACCAGTGGGAAAGCAGTTTTTTTTGGAATCTCAAACTCCTTTTGAACAGCTGGCTTATCATGTATTTCTTTCAACACTTGTTTCATTTGTGATTTTTCTCTGGGAATTACTTCTTCACCCGAATTTAGTGAGCTAGAGAGTGGAAAATATCCTTGTGCAGAAATGCCTTAGGTTCATGTGTGCTGATGTTTCTGTAGGTGACTGCATATATGAAGCAACTTGAGGTGCTGGTGACATCATAAGAGTGGAAGGATTTGGGCATTCCCTAGGACAGTGTGACATTTGTAGAGCTGCAGCTCTGGCCTTACCCATGTAGTATTTTCTGCTGCAATGAAAAATGTTCCCATGTAACTTGCATTGCATTGGCTCTTCAGCTGCTTCAGCTTTGTCTTATCTTGTCTAAGGACAATAGAGCTCTTTGATGCTGCTGCTAATATGGGTTATTCTCTCAAATTTCTTCCTGATAGCTCTTCAAATTTAAAACAGGCCACCTATCCTAGTACTGTAATTTTGATTGTCTGCCTGTATTTTACGTGTGCAGTCTTTAATTCAAAAAGAGTAGACCTTGTTACTAAATGCTGCTGACTAGCTATTGTTTAAGCAAACCTCAAACATCTTGGTGCTCTTTAGGCAAGTCTTGTAACACAAAGCCTGTAGTTATTTGTAATAATAATAGTACAAGAAAAAAGATCAACTTGAAGAAAGAAGATGCATCCTACATTTATCTTGCACGTAATGAAGTCTTTGAGCAAAGTATGTAAGGGAATAAAAAATATCTGTTTTTATTGTAGATGGAAGTGAAAATGTGACGGGACTGGACCTCTCAGATTTTCCAGCACTAGCAGACAGAAACAGAAGGGAAGGAAGTGGCAATCCAACTCCATTAATAAACCCTTTAGCTGGAAGGGCACCCTATGGTAAGACTTCTGAAAGCTTTTTGAATGAAATAGGTATTTGCTTGATTCAGCTTTTGCTGTTCATAAGACAGTAGGTAGTCTTTTCAAAAATACCAGATGTGTGAGCTCCTAAGACTCAGTTAAAAAAAGAAATAATATTACAGTGATTGGAGACTCCCCATTGTAAATATCAGAATTCCTACGCTCTAGTTTTACTGTCAATAGAGGTTGTTGGGGTTTTTGGTTTGTCTAGTATGATTACTCTGAGGCTGCTCACTCGAGGTACTTCTTAGGTAATAGGTTTTATTCAAATTGCATGTATACAAGAGCTGTTGATGTCTGACTAATAAATTACAGGAATAGTATTTGAATAGTAGAGGTGTTCTGTGTAAGAAGTCAGCAGTTGTAAACGTACTGTATATTTTTGCTGTTTATTAATAATATTTGCTGTAGTACTGTTCAGCGTCACTCTAATGACAAACATCAAATTTCAAAAAATAACCTGTAAACATCAACTATTATCAGTCAGATTCCATGTATGTATCTTATATAATTCTTACTGAACAACTTAAAAGTAATAAAAGGAAAAAAACTTTTGGTGAATACAAATCTTATTAATTGGGTCTTGAAAAAATTCAGGTGAGCTTAGTGTGAGGCACAAAACTTTCTTTTTGTTACGGCTTTAGTAGATTTAGTAGATGCATGTTGCATCTACTACTCTAAAAAGTTGCTTTTATAACCTATTTTTGTGGTGCTTGTCAAATTTTTAACTAAAAATAACCTAGTTTTTTCAAACTATAAAAGCTGGTGTTTTTGAGAGATAGCTCGAACTGTGGTTGGAGATAATATATACCGTGTTATCAAGAGAAAGTAGCCTCATGGATTTGGCATAACCAGGCCCTCTGTGTAAGATAGCTGTGAGAAAGGACCAAATAAGTTAAACTTGCCTTTGCAAAACACAGGGAAAAGTCTCTTCCCAAAACAAAGACACTCAAAACTCAGACCACGAGTGGAAACCTAATACAGCTTGTGGCTTGCGTGAGATGCCGTCCATCACAGAATCATAAAATGGCTTGATTTGGAAGGAACTAAAGTTCCAACTCTGAAAGAAAAGACATTATGTGAAAAAAATGATGGAAGGTAGGAGGAGATCCACTTCCAGATGTACTTCCAGCATGGATCTGGAGTTCAGTGTTTAACAGCACTGCAGCATAAAAAAAACCCCTGTAATTGCTCTCATGCTTACACCATTTCCCCATTTTGATGCTGGCATAGCTGTTTGCAAAACTGTATGGTGAACCACGAAAGAAAATTCTCTGTTTGAAGAGTTATCTTATCTGCTTAATGCAGGAGTTGCATATGGAGGTAGAAACAATCCAGAAATGGAGATGTAAGATGCACTGGATACTGTCTTCCAACACAAAAAGTGGAGAGCAGTTTTGGTTCTGGACAAGAAGAGAAAGTTTGAAACGGAGCAGAGACATACTTTCTTTATTCTTGGTTATTCAGGAAAATTATACTTCAAATAACTTTTAGATAGAATGAGAATAATCATTAAAGTTAATTCATTATCAGTTTTATTTATCCAGTACAAGAAATTGTAATAATTCTGGATGAAAAGGCTGAACAGCAGAAACAAGATTAACTCAGTGTTGTTCTTTTTTTAAATAAAGGAACTTTGACCTCTAACTTCAGAATACTAAAGAAAGTCATATACAGTCATCTAATGAACCATTTTAGATCCTTCACATCTACTAAGAATCTTTGAAAAATAGGCCCTAGACTTTCTTTTGTCTTCTGTTCCTCTGTTGCAGTGTTCTTTGCAACCAAACCACTATATTACTTCTCTGTGTCTAGCAAAGTCTGTTTGCTCTTGAGTGCATCGTGTGGGGACTTTTTGGTTTGTTTTGGGTTTAACTGGCATAAAGGAAAAAAACCCAAACAAACCACATTGCCTTTTTGCTTTTCAGTAGTCAGAATCCAAATTCCAGTGTACCTGGCCTGCTCTTTTGAAATTAGGGTCAGAGCACTGAGAGTTGCAGGTTAAATGCTCTCAGTATTTATACTGAAAGTAGGAATTGTTCTTATGTCACAGGCAAGTATTTCGTTCCTGACATGTTCTGTTGCAAGTTAGCTGGGCGTCCTTTGAGAATACACGTTTTTGAAGAGATGGTGCTACAAAATTCTTTATGCAATTAGAGGATGGAGGAAAAATGTATTATACTCTTAAAAGCAGTACATTCCTGATCAGTGGATTTACCTGAATACAGCTTTAATAATGCCTGTAAAGATTATTTGATTATTTAGATGTGCAAAACAAGGTGCAGTGGATGGGAATTTAACCCATATAGTGTTTCGCAGCTCACACTTGAATAAAAGGCTTTAGTCTATGTGTGGATGTTTTGAATGAATATGCTTTGTTTTGCTTTACCTGTTTTTTTAAAAGTCATGACTGTACAGCTTGAGCATAGTAAAAATGGACAGTGAGGAAGATCAACAGCAGAAAAATTCTGTACATAGCAGTTGTTTAATGTTATTCCTGCTTGCATTTTGATGATAGTTGGAATGGTAACAAAACCAGCAAGTGAGCAGTCCCAGGACTTTTCAATACACAATGAAGATTTTCCAGCATTACCAGGCTCCAGCTACAAAGACCCAACATCAAGTAATGATGACAATAAATCTGTAAGTAAACCCTAAATTTTCTCTTAGTTTTAGTGTTCATACTTTTTTGATGATTGTATTTTAAAATGGGCAGTGACTATATTTCTAGTACAAGATTTTCAAATTTGCCCTTCTGAATTAGTGAGAGACTGAGCATAAGCAGCATGGAATTTCTCAAGAAGTTTTCTTGTCCACTGTGACCCTGCTTGGACACCTCAAAATTTATTTTTGAGAAGTGGTATATATTTTTCAAGTTCGCAATTCATGATTTTTTTTCTGTCAGTTTCAGCTCATTTTTTGCTGTTGATGCCTCTCATCAGTAGTAGTAATTTATACATTATAACTTCTTTCTTCAGAGTTGTCAAATCTTTTGAAAGTTAAGTGGTACAATATCAATTCAAGGTAAAATTCATAATGGAGATGTGAAATCAGAGGGAACAAGCTCTTTTAATACAGATCATAGCTATGTTGTAGACTAATGAGATACATTGTATCTTTAGTATTTGTAAATTATAATGAGTTAGGTATATAGTTTAGATCATAAAATTATGGGCTTTTCTTTGTTGTTTGAAAAATTTGTAATAAAAACTGTAATTTTATTGCAAATGAAAGGTGAATAAAATGTGGATGGCAGAGGACAGTTTTCTACATTATTTGACAAAATGTTCTAGTTTCTGATTGTTTTATTCTAATTGCAAAAATATGTTAATGAGGGTGGCGTAAATACTGACGAATAAGTAGTAGGTGTGACTGAAAACTCATGTGAAAACTAAAAAATGCAACTGTTTAAGAAAAAGGGGTGGTAGGAAGCCTGGCCCCCAAATGTTGTGGCCAATTCTGTTGTGAGGAAAATGTTCTGATGCACTGATTACAGTAAGGAGAGTGGGAGTAAATGCAATTGTGTTACTGTAGATTTGTTCTAATGATTAATAAAGAGTAAGAAATAATGGATATGGCAGATGAGTATTTTGTCGGTATTTGGGTTCCTAGAGCACAGTCAGTTTTCTTGCCAGACATAATGTTTACGTGTCTTTCCTGATAGTTGCAAATTTGCTTACTGTATGTTGCTGGCACCTGAAATTGGCTCATTATCTGTTGCTATGCCATGAAGTGTTATAAAGGAGCAAGACTAGGAGGGGAAAAGTACACAGCGTGGTGAGTCCAAAAGAAGCTCTAGTCACAGGCACTTGGGATGTCCAAATCAGGTGTAAAATACTTTATCCTTTTAGACTGCAAACTGTTAGCCTGTTAATAGCACTTACTGTATGGTGGGTATGCTTTAGGAAGTGGTAAATACTACATAAGCTTTGTACAGCAGAACTCAAGAGCTTCAGCTTGGAGCGATTTATTAGAGTGACTTGAGGTACTGGCTTAGAGTGCTTTACTGAAAGATATGATTGTGAGTTTTTTGCATTTTGGTTTGTTTTTATCATACCAACTCCACGAATTATTTTTAATAGAATTTGAGTACATCAGGCAAAACATCATCCAGCACAGATGGGCCCAAGTTTCCTGGAGATAAAAGTTCAACTACGCAAAACAACAACCAGCAGAAAAAAGGGATCCAGGTGTTACCTGATGGTACGTGTCATTCCACTTTTTCTGCTTTAAAGTTTTGGCAGTCTTTTAGATACCCTTGTTGATTTCTCTACTTCTTAAAAGGAGAAGATTAATTTGTTCTTCTTGCCCAGGTCGGGTTACCAACATTCCTCAAGGGATGGTGACGGACCAGTTTGGAATGATTGGCTTGTTAACATTCATCAGGGCAGCAGAGACAGATCCAGGAATGGTACATCTGGCATTAGGAAGTGATTTAACAACACTAGGTCTCAATCTCAACTCTCCGGAGTAAGTTTCTGGTTTTTAATACTGTCTTCAGTTTTGGTTTTGTTATGCTGTCATTCATAGTACTTAGCTCACTTGACTATCACACCCACAAGGTATTTTGCCAAATAAAATTTGAAAATGTAATGATGGTAAAATAAAATTTTCATAAAGAAGATAATTGTACTTTGAGGCATACTGAAATTGTGATGCAAGCTTTCAGTAAACCTAGTGGCTTTGCTTATTCTGCTAACTTCATTAGGAATTTCTTCAAAGAATTGACAGCATACTGTTTATAAATGTCATGTGTACATTACTTTTCAAGTAATAATATATCTTGTGGATATCTAGACTTAATTCTCAGCAATCTGGGGGATAAATTCAATTTAGTGTAATAATGAACAGAGCACCTGCAGTGTTACACTGCACAGAAGACAAATGTAAATGAAAATGTGGTTCTATAGTCAACTTATAGTCAGTCAGTTCACCTAAGTTGAACGTGTTTCGTCATCTAGGTTTGCTATAGAGGCAGTGGGGAGAAAAGCAGTTAGTGAGTGCACTGATGGTAAGAGAAGTGCTTAAGACAGGTGAGGTGAATAACCAGCCAACCCAGGGTGCCTCTCTTTCTCCACTAGCTAAAGAAGGAACTTAGTTCAGTTTGGACAAAACTGGTGTCTTCTAACTGACTGTAATTGTGAGAGAAATTTAATTTTTGGTGCTCTGACTTTCAACTGACAGTCTCACACCATTTTGTTCCAGCAGAGATTTACATAGTGTTAACCTTATAGACAGAGTAATGTATGTATTTTAAAGTTTGCACTTACTGTATTAAAAAAACAAAGACCAGACAGCATACATGTACCATTTCCATCTTTCACAAATTTATATGGAGCTGCATATAATCATGGAAACTTGATGGATGGGGATATCAAGCATAGGAGAAATGGTTCCTTATTTTTTTAGCAGTTCTAAGTAGCTGGATTTTTAACATTCTTAATATTTAATTACTGTATAGCATATTTATGTTCTTGGATGGAGAGCATACTGTTAATGTTTAATCCAGACAGTTCTGTATTATAAAGTTGGTTTTACATCGTGCTACAGAAAAGCTTTGCAAACAGCCCATGCAGTCCTCCGTGTCTGGCCTGCCATCCTGCCTTATGTTAAACATTCTTTGCTCTATGAATTGTTGTTTGAAAAACTAAAAATGGTTCAAATATGAAAAGACAAATTTTTCTACCCTATGAGTTACTTCTGATGGTAAAAAATACCTGTCTGACTTGGAAACATAGCACAATAAATGCGCTTTTGGAAACAAAATTTAAGAATTATGTATGTATGTCTAGTGGTTTAAATTAACTATCCTAACTCCTATTTAGAAGAACAGTAAAATCTTTACTGGTTGGTTTTAAAAAAACAACCTGCCAGTATGAGCTTTTCCTCCCCTTTTAAATCATAGCTAATAAATCAGAACCCACCAGGCTTGTGGCAGCTACTCCTAGTCAAAGTGAGACCCTGTGTAACACTGGATACCGGAAGAAGGGATCTCTGACGCTTAAGTTTTCTAAGAAGGAAAGATAGATTATAAAGGAAATCTTGACCCTGTAGTTTCCCATGGCAGTTTAAATGCAGCCTTACTCTGAATATTAAAAAGAAAATTAATAAATATAGCTGTTTTAGGAAACTTTCCTCCTTTTTTTCTCACCCCAGCTAGTGATTTGGTTGTGTGATAGTTTTTAGTAGGTTTTTTTTTTAAGGTTGTTTATGGAACATTTTTTTTTTAATTGGTTGGTTTGGGGTTTAATTTTTTTTAAATTTATGCTTTTCTTTTTCTTCAGAAATCTTTATCCCAAATTTGCGTCCCCCTGGGCGTCATCGCCTTGTCGACCTCAAGACATAGGTAAGAGAGAAATAACTATTTAATTCAATATTAATATTTGCAAATTACATTCATTTACATGTCTTAATAGTTGCATCAATTCCGGTTCTTTTTTAGACTTCCATGTTCCATCTGAATACTTAACTAACATTCACATTAGGGATAAGGTGAGTACGTGTGTGTATGTGTGTGTATGTGTGCATTTTTTGTTACTTTATTACCAGAAATTTTCTAAATTTTCTTTCAGATATGTATTGTTTGAAATCAGTGCATTTTATGGATGTCCTCAGTCTTTCTAGGAACAATGGTGTGTTAACAGGCTGATTGAGCACATGAAGCAGCCATTATACCTTACAAAAAGAGAATGGGCATGCAAAAGAATAGCCAAAGAGCACAGTATGTTTTTAAGAGTTTGTCCTTCTTGCGAAGATTAGGATTCTTATGGCATTATTCAAATGCCAAATTAAATTGAGGTATTTCTTGAGATGACTTCAGAATTGTGGTTCTCACATTTATCTGTTCATTCCGTATCTACATGAATAGGGATTTTTTGAGATATATTTTCTTTCAACTGTTGTAGTTCTCTAAGAGGGATCATTGAAAAATAGCGTAAGAAATTTTAGTAATATTACTTAATAGAGTGTGAAGTGAGCAAATACATGCAGAAGTTGTTCTGTTGGGTTTTTTCAAACAAAATAAGTGGATGAGGATACACACAGATACAGGGAGAAAATTCTGTCTTGCTGATTTGTTACATCTGTTTATTTTTCTGTTGTATCCTTTAAGTTGGAAAGGTTAACTTAAACTGAAGAAAAATTGATTGTTTTGGTAATTATTACTCTGTTATATTAGAGTATCATTTTCAACACACTTAGGATGGAAGCACATTTCAGATGTATCCTTGTGTTATTTAAGTGGGATAGTATGTTTTAAAACATTTATCTATTGTGATTTTTCATCCTCATTTTCTTCAATCTTTTGCAGCTGGCTGCAATAAAACTTGGCCGATATGGAGAAGATCTCCTGTTTTATCTCTATTACATGAATGGAGGAGATGTATTACAGCTATTAGCAGCAGTAGAGCTGTACGTTCAAACTATTTTGTCAGTCTTATATGAGTTTATCTATTGCAGTAATGAAGTAGTAGATATAAAAAAAAGAAAAATCACACCCCAACAAGTTAGACATTGAAAGAAGCTTAGTCAATCTTGAACTGGAAACCTTTTTTAAAATACCTCCTCCAACCTTGTTTTCATTTTGTATGGGTTTTTTTCATTCATACAGTGGAAATCAAAAGCCTGTCTCATGTATTTTGCATTATGAAACACTGTGAAAAAATGACAGGTGCCAGTCATTATTAAATGTGTAACTTACCTATCTTCAACAAAACAAAAACCAGTAAATACTCTTTAAAAGTTTGTTGTTTGAGACTATCAGACTTTTTTAAGTTTCATATGTGTTTAGTTTGAGGTGTAATAATTTTACGGAAGAGGTATGAAATCACAGGTATAACGATGTCATAGAAATTTTGTATTGGACTTGAACGCAATGTACAATTTTGATTGAAACCTTTAAAATTAGTTTATTATGTCAATTTCAGATAACTAACATTAAAAATTATTTTTCCTTTCTATTAAAAATGAAAGATTTAACCGGGATTGGAGATACCACAAAGAAGAACGAGTATGGATCACCAGGGCACCCGGCATGGAGCCAACAATGAAAACCAATACATACGAGAGGGGAACATATTACTTCTTTGACTGTCTTAACTGGAGGAAAGTAGCTAAGGTATCTCTTTTCTCTTGTGCAGATGTTTTAAGTCTGTCAACCATATAGTTATAGAAAGTCAAAATGAAAACACAACCTTCTCCACAAAAATCTCGAACTTTTTAACCTCCTTTTGTTCATGATCTTAATTTCTGATGTATGAGGGAATAAAGGTTGCCTAAAACAGTGGCTTGCTTGTGCAAAATAAGGAGCCATCTCTCTTATTTCCAGTTTTCTTTGGGAGTCAGAAGAACTAACCCTAACCCTCTATTTATGAGGTTTTTGTTACAATTGAAAGCTCTTTGCACATACACAGTTATAGAATGGAAAGTATTATTTGGCATTTTAAAAATTGTGCTTATGAACATTTTATTACTTTGCTTCAGAAAATTAAATAAGATGCTACCACACCATACTTTGGAATTAATAATGGATGTGGAATGGGTGTGGGGAATGCTTTTTTGGTTTTTGGGTACCGTCTCTCCTTGACCATACTTGAGGATGTCCATGCTCTATTGTCTAATGTCAGAGTTCTTTGAAATAAAGAACTTCTTTTAAGGAGGAGGCATATTTTCATGATACTTGTTTTCTATATTGTAGACCACAGCATTAAAAAAAATCAGAAAGGTACAGCTTTTTCTGTTCCCAACTCTCGTAATCTATTTATCCCATTCTGTCCATGAATATTCTCAGTAATGTTTGTGTCAGACCATCTGTAGGTACAGTATCACATGTAACAGATCGGACCAGACCAACTCAACAGATGTAATTCCAGTACATTGGAACTATATTCTGTGGTTCCACATGCTTAGGTATTTCATAAAGTCAGAAATCTTTTCCCCTACAGCATAACTTATTAATTGTTTGCTGAAAAGCTGTGAGCAAGTTGTATCTATACACTTGGAGATTATGAAACATTGCTTTAAATAGTTTCATATGTGTGTTGATGTGTTTTTAAACATCTGTTTTAAAGAGTACAGTTCGGAGTTCTCTCTGTATATTGAAGTTTGCTGTCATCTTGACATTAACTAGATATAATTATATTCTACCTCCCCCCCTCCCCCCGGTAAATATGCTTAGTTTGTGCAAGCTCCCCTCAGAAATCAACATCTTTAGTTGCTTTAAAGGATATGGGAGGTTCTTCAGTCCAATTGCACGTGTGACTCCTTGTCTCTTCTGCCTTTCTGCTGCCATAAGAAAACCTTTGTAACTTAAGGTTCTAATGGCAAGCCCTGCCTCTATGGTTTTTTTAAATGCAAGGTCATTCCAAAACTTTTAAGCAAAAGCATCTTTCCCCTCAAATGAAAAACAAACAAAAGAAAAGTTTTTACTTCTACTCGAATTGTTCATTTGCTGCTTGGTATACTTCCTTACGTTCCCCAAGATGCTATTTAAAGCTATTTTATTATTACATAAGATCACCAAAGGGAAAGGAATTACCTTTTGAAAGGATAGCTTTCTTTTTTTTGGAGTCACCTGAATATATTCCACTTATTTATGACCATTAAGAGCCTCATGTAGGTTCATATATCAATGGAATTACATTTTTAGCCTGCATGGAAACACAACATTTCTTTTACTAGAAGGAAGTGGTGCTCATTGTATAAGAAAAGTAACCTCTTCAGTGTCTGTTCTTTTCCTGCCTGTAGTAAATGTATAAATCTGCTACTTGATGCTTTAGCATTGCTTTTGAAGATAGCATTGTCTCTATTTGGAATCCCGAGTGCTATGCCAAATCTCAGCATCCAGTGCTTTGAGTGATGCACACTACACCTTCTGTTAGCATTCCTGGAGACACTGTGCTGAAAGAGAGATAGGAATCACTACTGTTCTCTGAATGCTTTTTCCCAAGGTCTACATAGTTTCTCTTTTCTTCATTTGCATGCTGAAAATAATTTCCCCAATATTAAGAAGCAGTTGATAGCTAGTAAGGGGAGGGATAGTATTTTCTAAAGTTTTGCACTTCCAGTGGTAATTTAACAAGAAACACGATTATTTTATTTATTTCACCCCCAATGTCCATAGGATGCAGTAATATCTTTTCTTTTAGGTTTGCATATTTCTTAATGTAAAAATTTTAACTGGAATATTATTTTGAAATTTTTATTTAACTTTGATTTGATGTAAAATACAGCAGGTAATTTGAGTATTGATCACAGGAAGATAGAGTGATTTTGGGGAAAATTGTGATTTTTTGTTACATGGAAAAGGAGTTGCATACTAGAAGCAATTCTGTAACATTTCCATCTACCATAAATAAGTAAGAACTTAGATGTTTGTCAAGTGTGATGTTAACGTTCAGTGGTAATGTTGTTACCTCTGGTGTTAATTTCTTGAATTTGAAGAAGACTAATGTAGACTTTCTATAGCAAGACCATCAGTATTTGGTAACTCTGTGTTTCTTTGAATGCAAATAAAAGTATGACCAAGTAATTTTTTTCTAACAAACACAGAACTAATTAGTAAGTGTTTCAGGAAGTTAAACGTATAAGGAGTTGGAGAAGAACAGTGTGGCTAGCAGGACCAGGGAAGTGATTCTTCCCCTGTACCTCAGCACTGGTGAGGCCACACCTGGAGTGCTGTGTCCAGTTCTGGGCCCCTCAGCTCAGGAAGGATATTGAGGTGCTGGAGCGGGTCCAGAGAAGAGCAACAAGGCTGCTGAAGGGACTTGAACACAAACCCTGTGAGGAGAGGCTGAGGGAGCTGGGGTTGTTTAGCCTGGAGAAGAGGAGGCTCAGGGGTAACCTCATCACTCTCTACAATTCCCTGAAAGAAAGTTGTAGCCAGGAAGGGTTCAGTCTCTTCTCCCAGGCAAGCAGCAGTAGGACAAGAGGGCATGGTCTTAAGCTCTGCCAGGGGAGGTTTAGGTTGCATATTAGGAAGAAATTCTTTACAGAGAGGCTAATCAGGCATTGGAATGGACTGCCCATGGAAGTGGTGGATTCTCCCATCCCTGGAGGTTTTTAAGAAGAGACTGGATGTGGCACTTAGTGCTGTGGTCTAGTAAATGTGGTAGTAGTGGATCAAGGGTTGGACTTCATGATCTCAGAGGTCCTTTCCAACCCAGCTGATTTTATTAAAAAAAAAAAGAATTATGATAAATTACAGTCCGTTACTATAACTGCGACTTTATTAGTGAATGCTGGGAATGTGGGTTCCTTAGAAGTCCACAATAGTACTTACTGCTTAAGAGTTTAATTAGTTCTTCTTTGAAGCAGTCAGACAGGAATAATTTCTGGTAAATTGCTGTCTCTTTTGTGTGCATATTCAATTGTTTTTCAAGGTGCTTTATAAATTTGTCTGTTGTTCCAGTGTATATGCTTAAATATAGGGCAGCACATATTCTAATGTATTGTACTTGGCAGACATTGCTTGCAGACATTTGCAGATGTGCATTATCAATTTATGTATTTATTGTTCCTGTTTCAGATTACAGTCCAGTATGATACAGTGAAATACAGCCATTTAGATAACGTGACCAGTTCTTAGGACTAAGTTTGTAAAAACATAAACCAGTCATGATTTAATAGATTTTTTTTTATAGTGTCCTAGATTAGTTTTAACAAAAGTAAAGAAGGATGAATGACTTCTTTCAAGAAAATATCAAATAATATATTTATCTTTTTTATTAAACTGTAGGCTCTATTTTTATATTGCTAATCAATAATAAACTGAAGAAGGAAATGCAGTAAAATAGCTGAGTAATGAGAATTCCTAAACTGTTAGGAAATAAAATCAAATCGATTCTGTTTTGACACATGGTATTAAATAGTGAAGGGAAAATAAATTACAATAAACTTCAAATTTACCTTAAATGCAAACTAAAATGCAGGAGAATCTGATTATATATGTGTCCATATATGGTTTTTCATCCTAGGGCACATGGAAAATACACTGAGGTTAAAGACACTGATTTTTTTTCACTTAGGTTTTGTCTATAGTTTGCTGCTGTTGAGGAGACATGAGAGAGGAAGGGAAGTAGAATGACACCAGAAGTGCTTTCTACAATTGCACATTTACTGAAATCCTGATTTAAGTTGTCTGAAGTAAGCTGTCTCAAGTTTCTCCTTCTTGCTTTTCAGTAAGGAGAATTAATCTGTTTAAGGAACAAAATTATAAGACCTTTTTACTTTGATTTTATAGTTACAGAACATGGAATCTTTATGAGACAGAAAGTTAGATTTCCAAGTGTTTATTTGTTTGTCAGGGTTGCTGTCTATGTTAAGTTACTCCCTATCCTCTTAAGATCAATATTAATTGAAGTAGTTTCATAATGACTAGAAATTTAATTTGTTATTCTAATAGAGATGTGCCATAGCATTTCAGTTCAGCCCCTAATTTAAATTAGGGTCTTTGCATCCATCTTTAAGTCAGTATTAATGGTACTTTTAAGTTCCGTTTGGAATTCTTGAGCTAGCTGTGGGACTTCTACCCTCTGCTCTGATGGACTTACACAGTCCAGAATATTTTGTCCTCAGGACACTACCTATTCTGCTGACTTTTGTTTTGTTGTACTCTATTAACGTTTAAAATCATTCTAAGCAATCCTCTTCTGTTTTAAGTATCCTGTTTGTTCATGTGCGGGCTGATGTAACTTCACCATCAAAGCAAGTTCCCAGGATGATGTGAGAAGAGGTTATTTTCTTTGCATAGAACAATTTACTTAGCGTCACACATGTGGTATAAGTTTTCACACACATTTAGTATTTATTATTCTTGGTTAATGAACTGTATCTAAGTTTTAATAATTACCTCCATGTGGAAAATAAAACAATTTAACACATTTATCAGTGGATAAATGGTATTTTTTTACATTTTATTTGTATCTCTTTATATTAAAAAGTATCTGCTGTTGACATCCTAAACCGCAGTGGCAAAACCAAAACCATAAAGTATACCTGTAATACAAGTATTTTCCTATATGTAATAAATAATTGCCTTTTAGCTTTCAAAAATACTTGGTCAATGAGTTCTTTTTTTTGTTTTGTCAAATAAAACTTTAGATGTTCTTATACACTACTGAATGTTGAGTTTGAGCATTGCTGATGCTGCGGTGCAAATCAAAAAGGCTGTTTTAAGCCTCTTTATTTTAGCACTGGATGACAGTTTGAAGTGCGAACTCACATGCTTCTAAAGAAAATTTGGTAGGGAATCATACTCGTCCTTCTGAATGAGGGACATCAATTTGCAGGACACAAAGGATTGCTCAAGCTACTGAGCATTTTTTCCAGACACACCTTGCTTGCAACTACCACTGCCAATAGAGGCTCACAACAGCTTTGGGTTTGGAAAACCCTTTTATAGGATACTGATGCTTACTGGTTTCTGATACTTACTGTATCTTACTAGTCTCATTAGCAATTTTCCGTGGGTAATTTTGAAGGCATTTCAGACAGAGCTTGTGGAGGTTCAGTTACATGACTGAAGCTGACCATATATTGATAGTAATCTGCAGGCCCTTCCATGATTATATGCAAGATAGAAACTTTGACAGCCGTGAATGGGAGAGAAAGCTTGAGTAGTATCTTTTCTATTATAAAATGACTGTGAAATTACTGAAGATCATAGAATAGTTTGGATTGGAAGGGACCTTAAAGACCATCTAGTTCCAACCCCGACCTTGAACACTTCCTGGGATGGGGCATCCGCAACTTGCTGGACAACCTGTTCCTGTGCCTCACCACCTTCACAGTAAAGAATTTATTCCTAATACTAAATCCAAATCCTATCCTTCTTCATCTTAAAGCCATTCCCCCTTCTCCTATCACTACATACCCATGCAAAAAGTCTCTCTCCAGCCTTCCTGTAGACCCCATAAGATCCACACAACCTAATCTAGCCTTTGATGCTAAAATACATACACAGATTTGTACACCTTCATCTTGCTTCTGACCCAAGGAGGGAGCAGGCATCTATTCAGTCTCAGCACGTGTATGTGTCTGCACTGAAAGAGAACACACACCATCTGGCATGCAGTTTTAATTAGGAGTGCCAAAAGCAATTCACTTCTATGTATGTTACCTAAAAAGTAAAAAAAAACCAAACCCATCACCAAATAGATAAATAAATAAATAAATAACTCAAAAATAAAACCTAAACAAAAAAAAACCCTAAAAACTTGTTTGGAGGAGAGAGCAGGAGCTAACATTTCAGTGCAGGTGGTTGTAACCTCACATAGGTATTGCCACAGTTTTCCAGTTTTAGGGACAGTATTCTCAAGAAAATACAGAATGCTTCGCATTTACCTCTACTTTGTTTTTCTACCATGCTGAATGTTCTTTTTATGCTTAATGGACCTTGTTTTGCCTTGAAAGAAGAGAGGTCTGCGAGTTGGAATTTCTAGATTTTATTGCTGTTGTTGAATTGACTCGGTCCTTAATTTAGTTTGCCTGCCTGTACTGAAATATTATACTATTTAATCACTTTAGAGAGTGTTCTAAAATAATTTGAATGAAAATAAAATAGGGATGAGACATAGTTATGCTGCTGAAAGTGTCTGAAAAATACAAGATTTCAGGTTTGCTGAATCTGGGGCATAGATATGAGTATGAAACATGGTGAAATATTTTGATAAATTCTGGCTTAAGTAGGTCTCAGTGCTTTGTCTCTAACATTTTAGATAGTGTTACTAAAGGAGAAACTTAGCTAGTTTAACGTACGATTTCACAGAATCACAGAACCGTTTAAGCTGGAAAAGACCTCTTAAGATCAAATCCAGCCTTTGACTGATCACCACCAAGTCAGCTAGACCATGGCACATCCAGTTTCTTGAGCACCTTTAGGGGTGGTGACTCCACCACCTCCATGGGCAGTCTATTCCAGTGCTTAACATCCCTTTCCGAATATCCAGCATGAACCATCCCTGGCACACCTTGAGGCCATTTGGTCTGGTAGTATGACACAAACTATTCCTAAACTTCAGTTTGTCCAAACTAAGCCTCTGTACGCCTGACATGTTGAAAGACAGAAACTGTTGTTCATAATTCAGTTCATGCTGTGGTTGTGTATTTGTGTTCTGTGTCTGTGCATACATAAAATTGTTTGAGATCATAATGAGGGTTTTGAGGGTCATGCAGCATTAAAAAGTTAAAATTGTCCGCTTTTTTCTACTTAAAATATGGAATCCAAGATAGCAAAATCATGTGTTTCTGCCTTAGGATAAGTTAGTACTTGATCTTCTCTGTATTTGTGCTTTCAAAGTATGGCTGGTAGAAGGACCAGGTCTCAACAGGTAAATGATATTTGGTTTTGTCTTTTTTTTTTTTTAACTGTAGGAGTTCCATCTGGAATATGACAAACTAGAAGAAAGGCCTCATCTGCCATCAACCTTCAACTACAACCCTGCTCAGCAAGCCTTCTAAAGACTTCCCTATTCTTGGGGTATGGCTGTCTCAGCACAATACTCAACATAACTGCAGAACTGATGTGGCTCAGGCATCCTGGTTTTAATTCCTTGAGGATCTGGCAATTGGCTCAATGCGAAGGGTCACCATTTGAGGTCCTGCCTTACTAATTATGTGCTGCCCAACAACTAAATTTGTAATTGTTTTTCTTTAGTTTGAGCAGGGTCTGAATTTTTGTTTTTGTTTTCTTTTTTGCCAGCAGACAAGCTTGGGTCTGTAAAGACAAGCGAGTACACTGACAAAAGTTTACCACTTAGTTTTCCAAAATGTAAAAACAAAAAAAAAGAAAAAAGACAAAAAATTAGACAACAAAATTTGCATTGTTCATTGTAGCACTATTGGTAATAAAAACTGTTTGTGCATTTTTATGTGAAGATCCTTCTCGTATTTCATTTGGAAAGATGAGCAAGGTTTGCTTCCTTCATTTTACTTCCCCTTCTGTTTTTGAAAGGCAGTTTTCGCCAAGCTTAATGCAAGAATATCTGACTGTTTAGAAGAAAGATATTGCCACAGTCTCTGGTTAGTTTCCAGAGTTGTGTATTACTGAGCTTCATCTTTCCAGAATGAGCAAAACACTGTCCAGTCTTTGTTACGATTTTGTAATAAATGTGTACATTTTTTTTAAATTTTTGGACATCACATGAATAAAGGTATGTATGTACGAATGTGTATATATTATATATATGACATCTATTTTGGAAAATGTTTGCCCTGCTGTACCTCATTTTTAGGAGGTGTGCATGGATGCAATATATGAAAACGGGACATTCTGGAACTGCTGGTCAGGGGACTACTTTGTCGCCCTGTGCACTAAAGGGCCAGATTTTCAGCAGCCAAGGACATCCATACCCAAGTGAATGTGATGGGACTTAAAGAAGTGAACTGAGACAATTCACTCTGGCTGTTTGAACAGCAGCGTTTCATAGGAAGAGAAAAAAAAAAGATCAATCTTGTATTTTCTGACCACATAAAGGCTTCTTCTCTTTGTAATAAAGTAGAAAAGCTCTCCTCACTGCAGTGTTGACTTTGATTTGAGATTGTGAAATTATTTCTTCAACAATGAAAAATGGAAAAAAAAAGTTGAAGTATTAAAACTATCAAACTGTACAGTGGTTAAGACACTTGAAGAGTCTTTTTGCTGCTGACAAGTAAATTTATGAGAGAGTTTTATATTCTTTTCCACAGCCCAATAAGTTTGGTTAACCTTGGTTTCAGATCCCTTCTCTATAATAGCAAATAATTTTTCAAAAGACGGGTGGGGTAACGTGTCAGATGATAAGAAAGATGCTTCAAGAATTCATCACAGAAGGAACACTTGGAAGAAGCTTGGGTTGGAACTGAGCTCAGCTTAGTTCCATGTTGACATTTTCCCACAGAAATATATTTCATTTGATGTTCACTGCTTCTTGAAATTCCAGATGCAAACAAACATGAATATACCTTTGTTCTGAAAATTATAACTGTTCTCTAGAGCGGAGCGAGAAAAACCTGAACTGTTTGGGTAGTTTTCTTTTTCTAGATATGATTGCCATTTCTGATTGAGTTGCCTCTGGCCATGCAGACCATTTCAAAAAACCTGAAATTACCAAAACAAGAAAAGACACATCAGTGATTTGTGGGGGGTTATTTTTATGTTTTGACCCATTTTTCTGTGTAGTGCAAAAGCAGCTTGTTGGCATGGATTCACTTATGCTTGGAAATCGGACCATTGATGGCCTTGCTGTGGTTCTGTATCAGGTGTATGGCAATTTAAAATTCTGCACTTTTTCTAATCTCTATTTTAAGATAGTAGGGATAAAAATATAAGCCTGTTGATTATATTTTTTTCCTGTTATTAAAGAAAACTTTTCCCAACTTGAAAGAAGCGGATGGTTATAATCCATATGATAACTAACATAGCTGAAAAAAAGTGGTGGCTTTTTCTTTTTCTCAAACCAAAGCAGATTCAAACGTATCTTTGATTATTCAAACATAAATTTATGAATTTTCAAAAGGATAATTTTCTGAAAGCGTCTTATTACTCTCCACAGTTAATGTTACATTTCTTACTGTTGGATGTCCACTATGACTTTTCCTTTTTTTTTTTTCTTAAGGATTCCTGAAGTGATGGTTGCATCTTCAGATCAAATGTGATTATTTTTTGTTCTATGTATTTGGGGTTTTTTTAATGTTATTTTTCATTGGCCTAACCGGTCTCCTGGAAATTAACAACATATGGGAAAGCGAGCAAAATAAATTACTTTGAAATAGTAAGTATCTGTGGTAGTTTAAAAACAATTAAACTGAAACTGTGAAGCTAAGTTCTCAAAAAAATTATTTGATGATACAGTTGTATTCAAGTCCACAATCTTTCAAAAATATGAGATGCCCTGATTTTGGGACGCTTCTCACCTGTGAGCAAGGAACTGATGCTTTGCTCCTTCCAAGGGGAAGAACAGTCTGGCTTTTTTCATCAATTCAGTAAGCATATATGGAGACTTTAAAACCTGTGACTTAATTTCATATTACACTCCAGGCTGAAGCAAGAGAAACAAGTTTAAACAGGAAACAAGGTGTAAAATTGGAACCATTTTTATCTGATACCATATTAATTAAAAAAATTGGAAAAAAACCCCCATACTACTTTTTTTCCTAAAAGGAAGAAAACCTCAGCCCTCATTTATACACTCACACCTGTAGCAAATGGGCAACTGAATTGACCAAGAGATTTTCAAACCAACAGTTAAGGTCTGAGGCTTGTTTAGTATGTTTTTACATTCCACTAGCACTATGAATAGGCGGATAATAGTATGCTGTACTAAAAATATCTTTATTTGAGGTTGATGTTTTTCCCCATAAATACAGCTTTGTACAGCAACGTGCAAGGTAAGTTCTGAGCAGTAAACTGAGTGCTCTTGGAAACAAGAAGTATTCCTGTTTCTGGCCTGTTCAACACACTCTCGCAGTCATTGCTTCATGTTGTATGTTGTTTGTAAATCTTTATCGAGTAGTTAGCTCCAGTTTCTCTGCAAATCCACTACCCTCAATTTCCAGGATTAAAACGGGTTTCACCAGCTCAATTATCCCTACTATTGAAAAAAACACTTCTTATTTTAAATTATTACTCAAACCACCCTGCTTGTGGAAAAATCAAGGGTACCAGAGAGTCATGGAGGAAGGAGTTAAGGATGCTCCACTGAGGTGTTAAGAAATTGTGAACAAACGAAAAAACCACCCAGGACTCAAATCTCTTCCACCTTCATACCTGGAGCCACAAATACTTTAACGCGTGAGAACCTTCATGGCCTTGATTAACCTAATTGAAGACCCAGGTAATCCAGGGAAGCCTGCAGATACTCACATGGGTAAAAATATTTTTCATTTGGTTGTGACCTCCAATGAAGTGTTGACTCTGTGTGTGTTGGGATTCATGACCACAGCAGTCCCTCATGACATGACCTCTATGCAGTACAAAGAGGTATAATCATACTACTTTGCTCCGTGTCATGTCTGAAATCCTCTCTGTCCCCAAGCCAGTATTCTTTGTACTTGTCTGTTTTCATGAAAAAAATTACCGAGGATATACCCAAAATAAGAACTTGTGCATTGTAGTCAGATGCAGAATTTTTTGCAGAGTGTTAAGAGACTCTTTCTGTTGACCATAAAGAGACCAGAAAGCAGTCTTTGACACGACCAGCACAGGGAGACATAGAGGTCTGTGAGGCCATCACTTGATCCTGAGTGGCTTGTAGGTGGCCGCTGCTATGGAAGAAGCTGTACAGCTTCTAAATAATATTGTTTAAAGATACTTGTCACCTAGAAGGAACTTTTTTTTCCTTTTTTTCCTTTTTTTTCTTTTTTCTTCTTTTTTCTTTTTTTTTTTCTTTCTTTCTTTTTTTTCTTTTTTTTTTCTTTTTTTTTCTTTTTCTTTTCCTGATTGAAAATACTTCCATAGCTGGATATTGAGTGAAACAAAAGAGAAAATCTGATTACTATCTGTCACACTCAAGAAAAGCTTTTAAATGCACAGTTGTCATCCTAAGCATGAGGTAGCTAGACAGTGCTTTTGGTTTAGGATCCTGAATATAACAATTGGTTCTAATAAAGTCAAATGAGTGATCTTAGTTTTCAAATACCCTTTCATCATGTTCCTCAAAATCTGTCACTGCTCATAATTCATGCTAGTAGAAGTTGAATTCTGGTAAAGAATGCAGATTGGACTAAGCAGTTAGTCTGAGTTGACAGCTGATGCTTTTATTTTCAGGTATGGTATGAGAACTGAAAAGGTGTAGCTGCTTTTGTTTCTGTCTTGTGAGCATGCATGTTGTCATTTCCATAAATCTGAAAGCTTCCAGTACATTGAAAAGACCTGAGGGAATGCAGCTGGATAACTTATTTTGAAACTGTGGCTTGAATTGCTTCAGTACATTTACCTCTTAAAGCCACTTTACTGTAAGAGGCAAACTTTTTTTTTTTTTTTTTGAAAGTAATGTTAAAGCACATGGAACAATAGTTTTGAATATTAATGATTCAACCCACTTCTGGATTAGCAGTGCTAACCAAGTTTGTGTATTATTTTTCTAGACTTCAGTTTGTCATTTGCATTTCATATTCTTTTGTTGGTATTAATGTGCCAATATTCTATGTGGGTATATGTCAAGTTTTTCCTGCTAACACTGCCAAAATAATTTTCTGCAAAATCACTTCTTTGAACTCCCTCTTGTTTAACAAACAATCCAGAGAAGTAGTCAGTTTTCTTGGTTGGACCGTCCTGCATTGCCTGTAAACAGTCCTGATGATGGGTGAAAATAAGGTGGGCATCCTGAAGCTGCTGTGGTGCAAACATCGATGACCCTCTGTGGAAATCCTTCAGCGTTCTCTACATTTCTTCTGGACAAACGGGCTGGTTTGGTTGTTCCCAATGATCTCCCTTCCTTGGAAGGCCCATCTGCTTTGTGGTAGGCATCACAGCATTGGTTTCAAAAAGGCATTTTGTTATTATACATACAGACATTTGCTGTTGGATAGGCAGTTCATTTCTGGCACTTTCATGGCAGAGGTGTGATCAATGGCACGAGGAGCGCTGCTAGGCTTCTGCAAGGAAGCAGGGAGATGTGAGCCCAGTCCCTTCAACGGGCCCTTTGGGTGTGTGGTGGCAGAGCCCCACCATGGGCTGCCCAGCCTTGAGGTACATAACCAAGGCAGAGGCATTCTCAGCACCTGCTGTACCAGGTGAGTCATCTGCAGTTGGCCACAGGTAAGACTGTCCCTTGGCTGTGGGGCAAGGAAGGGCCAAAAAAGCAGATAGCAACCTATTTTCCTGCTGTTGGGAATTTCATGCAGACGTTTAACTTCATAGGCCAGTCTTTCAGACCTGGCAGCTCCTTATGCTCATGGTCCCAGAGCCAGCATCCTGACTCTTGTCCTCAAGTGACAGGAGAGCTAAAATCTTTACAACAGGCTCCTACAACCCAGCTTTACTCTCTTACAAATCAGGCATTGGTGATCATTTTTCACTTGCAACTGATGCAAATAGACTTTGAGTCCTGACTGAGTCAGTTGTGAAGAACTTCAAAATCTATTAGATCACCTGGTGAATATTCAGCACCATTCCTGGTTAAAATACAGACTCAGCATCTCCTCCAGCTGTAGATGATGTAGGGGTTGGATGCACACAGGAGGACTAACTCAAGGTTGCTGTGTCACCCAGTGATCTTCATTTTCGTCTGACAGCGCTTTATGTGCCTGGGATTAGAGGGAGCTGAATGGAGTACCAAAGGCCAGCTGCTCAGAAGGTAAGACAGACAAGAAACCACAGCCCATCTACACTGTGAAAGCAGGGCTGGAGCTTCCTTTTTCAGGTGGTGACAAATCTACCTGATTAAAATTTTATTTTTTATATTATGAAAGCTATATGCAACAAGCCCCATCATTAGAGACCACTGTCACCACAAGTGCTGACGGCAAAGCCTCATTGATGGGAATGGATGAACAGAGCCAAGAACTAACCAAGATGAGTCCCATTTCTCGTATAAATGCCTCCTGCAGGTTTAAGTAAGAAAAAATAATCCCAGGCTAAGAGCTGGCATAGTATTTCAGAAACCCATTGGTATCAGGGCAGGGCTGCTTACAAAGCAGCTGGCCTGAGAGCAATGTGGTAGTGCAGTGGTGCAAGCAAGGACAATATTTACATCCATTTATATTCGTGTCACAGCATGGATTCTTAATAGCCTTCCTGCCAAAACTTGCTCAATAGTCCATTTGGAGAACCTATGGATCAACTTTATTTATAAAAATTTGACATCGCACTCTGCAGTGGGAAAGTGATTGAAAAAGGTGGCCAACAAAAAAGTGCTATTCCCCATATTTTTTCTGTATTTCTGTACCTTCTTGTCTGCTGTGTCATCGAGTTCAGCTATCACCTCTGAAACTCTCACATTTTGTTCTAGCTAATTGCCTGTGATAAAGGCTACAGAATACAAATATAACTATTGCTTATGGTACTTTGGCACCAAAGAGCTTGTGTTGCCACAGTGGAAAATGCTGAGTTATAACCAAACTTTACTGGCAAAATAAATGTGTTTTCTTGGATTGGCTGCTTTACTTGCAGATGGGCTTGAAGGGAAGCATTTCCTGGAGTGAACCTTCAAAGGTTAATACCTTCCTGTTGAAAGAAATTCCTGTGTGTGACAGCAGTCATCTTGCTTCCCTATTATCTTCAAATAATGGTGGAAGAGGCTGGTCTGTTTCTGCTTGCAGATGCTGGGTTTGGGGCTGGCTGGAGCACAGCTCTTAACCCTGCAGCCCCAAAAAGTCATGTTGAGGCAGGATGACATTTGGCCAACTCCCATTATGTCCCTTCTCAGTCAATAAGGTGAGAATAACAGCTGCTTCCTCATTGACACATATTTAATTTCTTTAATTTCAGATCAGATTCCTCATGTAGACGTAGAGATCTTGCAGACTTTTATGCATGGGGCTACTAAGCAGGATTTCACACAGGCTTTCCAGGACTTAACCAAGCCAGCGGCGAGATGTTGGTTTAGAGAGAGTAGGTGGGGGGTGGGGGGCTGCAACGCACCCAAAGGGCTCCGCCCCCCACCCCCTTCTAGATATTGTACCTTGCATGATGGTACCCAGTATTAATCCGGACTAGCCCTCCCCACAGCAAATCTCCAGGGGTAGATAATCCCGTTGCAAGCTGTCCCTTTCCACCCCTGGAGGGCCCTGAATTAGGTCAGACTGGATTAAATTTGCATTTTATTTATCTAATTTTTTTTTCGTGCTCGTTACACGCACACTCAGGCTCGGAGGAGGCGGGGAGAAAGGCGGGGAGCGGCGGGAGCTTTAGCCGATGGCAGTGTCTGATGCCCGGCGGCGGATGCCAGCGGCAGCCGGGCCATGGCGAGGAGCCGGGCGGCTTACGAGTACACGGAGGCGGAGGACAAGAGCATGCGGCTGGGTTTCCTCCTCATCGCCGCCGGCTTGCTTTCCCTCTTGGGTTTGGGTTGTTGCTGGCTTCGCCCGGCGCTGCAGGAGCGGGGCGGCGGCGGCTCCGCCAACTGCACGGTGCTGGCGGTGCGGCAGCTGGGGGAGCGCTTCGCCTGCACCTTCTCCTGCGGGGCCGCCTGCCGCGGCACCGCCCGATACCCCTGCCTCCAGGTCCTGGTCCGCACCTCCCGCTCCTCCGCGCCCGCCCTGCTCCACGAGGATGAGCGCCAGCTCCGCACCAACCCTAAGGTGAGACCCGTGAACGTCCTCCTCTCCAAAATGTGGGGTGGTGCGTCCCGCCGAGGCGATGGTGCCCTTTTCCCGGCCCCAGTGCCCACCCTAGGCGTCCCGGTCCGCGGCAATCGCCCCCTGTTCGATGCGGGTTTAATCTGGTCGGGGGGAGTGGATGAAGTCCCGGGGCATCCCTCCAAAATGCGTCTGCTGTTGCTCAGCAAAAAGTAATAGCATATCTCTACAGTGTATATATGTATTTATGTATATACATACTCTACAGGGTGCATCTATATTCATGTGTTGTGTGCATATATATATCTAGCATGTCAGGGGAGGTTTAGGCTCGATGTTAGGGAAAAGGTTCTTCACCCAGAGGATGGCTGGGCACTGAACAGGCTGCCCGGGAAAGTGGTCACAGAACCAAACCTGATGGAGTTCAAAGGGTGTTTGGACAACACTCTCAGGCACATGGTGTGATTCTCGGGGATGGTCCTGTGCGGGGCCAGGAGTCGGACCCGATGATCCCTGTGGGTCCCTTCCAGCTCGGGATATTCCGTGATTCTGTATAGCATAGTATAACATACTATCTATGTACAATGTATAGTATAGTACATACCAATATACTACACTATACTATATACTATACTAAGTACAGCATAATACTATATACATGCACACACACACTGTATAAATATACACTCACACACTTCGCGATCAGCCCCATTCATTCCCAGCCCATCCCTCCCGCGTCCGGAGCGCAGCGGGAGCAGCGGAGGCTCAGCTGCCGTTCCCCGTCCTGCCGGAGCCCCGCAACGCCGGGGGGAGCCGAGGAGAAACTGCTGCTGCCGGCGGGGAGGTCTGTCTGTCTGTCTGCTCGGGAGGTGCCCGATGCCGCTGCGTGTCCCAGAGTGCGGGGAACTTCCCAGAGCAACTCCCCGAAGCGCAAGGGGAAATGTTAACAGAGCCGCTGCTGGCAGGGCGCCGGGGAGAGGGCTGTGCCGAAACTGAAGTTTCCTGCATGTTGTTTTGATTCTTAAACTTCTCCATCACCCACAGGAAAGAGGACCGAACGGAGGAGTCCTAAAAGTTGCATCTTACAGCAAATGAGGATAGTCTGAAGGCAATGTGTGACTTGTACTTTCTCCTTCTTTAAAGGCAGTTATTCTGCCTTCTCCTTTTCCTTTTCATTCTGGGTAAAGATGGCCTTGACAGCATGCTGCCTGAATGGAGGAGATTTTATTAAGTAGTATCCAGGAGAAAAAAAATGTGATGGAAACCCCCTACCCATGAAAGGACTTCAAGTCCTGAGTGTACTGGAGAAGGAAATGTTATCTCTTTGACCGAGATGTGGATGCAGCACAATGTCAAGGGTCATGTTAAGCCTGATGCAGGGATCTGCTTGCAGGGGCCAGATAGCAGGCTTGAGTGTCCAGTTGGGATGTGTAGCCTCACATCTCTCAGTCATACTTGCACTGGTCTGGCTCTGTCCCTTGGAAGGTAGATTAAATTGCAAGCTTAGTGTTTGAGTGTTGCTTTTTTCCCCTTGGCAGCTTGTAGCCTTGGACGGGTGGCTGGGGCAAAAATCAGCAGAGTGAGAAGCAGGATGGTAAATCTGCAAGGATTTGGATTAAATTGTTGGCACTGCTCAGAAGTGATGAGCAATGAAGCTGCAGTGCTGGATGGTGCCCCATAGCAAAGCAGACAAAATGTTGGCCTGTGAGGGAGCTTCTCAAATTTCACCTTTCCCTGGGAGTGCTGTTGCCGAGCTCCCTGTGGTTACAGAGGTGTTCCATGAGTGCCTCAGCTGTCCGAGCTCCAGGACTTCTCTAAGTGTCTCTCAGTTTTCAGGTAGGCAAGGGGTAGTTGGTAAAATGGAGGAGAAAAAGCCACCCTTTTGATGTGGGGTGAAGACGACATGGTGTTGCAGAGGGTGCAGTGTGGCTCTCCCTGAACACGGCCCAGTGGCCCTGTTGTGGCCATGTCCAGCAGGGACGGGAGGTGGAAGATGGGAGGTAGGTGCTGAGCCATGCCACCAGAATGACTGGGCTCAGCAACTTCATCAGCTTCTGCAGTTTCAGCAGAGGCTTTCAAATTGGACTGTGACCACAGTATCTTTCTGAGTGGTCCAAGTGTTTTGTTTTTACTTCTTGATCCTGTTTTCTTCTACCTTTCTGGACGTCTGGTGGGAAGAGAAGGATTGTACCCGCCTGGGGTCTGGATTGCAATTCTGCAGGGAGGCACCTAGAGCTTCAGAAGTAATGCCTGTAAATGTCACTCAGAAACGTATTTTTATCTAACAATTAATTTTATATTAACAACTGATGAAGAAACAGGTCTCTGTGTTGGCAGTGTGTAGTACTTGCATGTTCTTACAAATATAATCTATTTTCTTTACCTTCCACCTTGCCTCTCTAGGTGTGGGCTGTTTACACTGGCTATTGATTGTTGAGGATTAAATCTAATTTACCAGATGAGCCCAAGCTGAAAGGATGCATTTTTTGGATGTATCTGCATTCTCTGGTAGTAATTGAATGGAAATGGAAATGGAAAACTACATAGAAAAAAAATGTACTCCAATTATTTCCCCTACTTTAAAAAGCTTATGTAAAACAAATGGAAAATAAGAAGAAAAGTTGTTTAGGTCTCATCAGGAAAACATACCATTGTAAGGAACCAAAGTCTGTATCTGTTGCTTTTTCCCTTTTTTCCCCTAGTTCAACGTCTGTGGAGCCAAACAGTTATACTCTCCTTTTAGTTTTTGTCTTAAAGTCTCACCTTTTTAAAATGTTTTCAGGATTTTATGTTGAAATACATTAAGCAACAGAGTAGGAATCTGCTGGATCTAATACTCAGGATCCAGTATGTATTTATGAATGGACACTTAGGGATTTATTAACCCTTCCTGTTCCCATCACCTTCTTGCAGTATGCTTCCCTGTGTTCATGCAGTTTGACATACAGCATGCTAAGCGGTTTCAACTAACTGGGAGGGAAAAAATTTACCAATTTTGCTTTGAACAGTCTTTAAATTTTATATGCTGTTTAGCTACTTCTCTTTGTAGGGTAGCAATTTTCCCCTGTAAATCAAAATAGTATGGAAAAGGCATAGTTCAGGCTCCTTACAACACACAATACTTAATTAGTTGACAGCTTCACACCCCCAAAAATCCCCAGTGCATTGAACTAAAAACCTTCTACTTTCTGTAGTAGAGTGGGCTGGCATTTAAACATATTGCGGCTATGAATCTGGCTGTTCTAGTGAGGAGAAAACTGTTCTAGATGAAGGAACAATATTTTTTTTTCCCCTCTCTTGCTTTCTAAGATAATCACATCATTGTACAGCCCAGGATTCATTTTAGGTCTTAAAAGATTATATAGCTGGGTCAGAGTTAATCCAGGAATGTATATAATAAAACACCGGACACGATTACATTTGTGTTTAGTCCGAGTGATTTGTGGATTTCTTTTTTTTTTTTCTTTTGATTGCTGTCTCAGAGGAAGAAATTTCATCGGAGTGACAGTGGCCTTTCTTCATAGCCTTGATAGCAATAATAATCTCTGAGATAAGGCTTAAGGGAGATTAATTCCAAAGTCAATTTGTCGCTATCACTCTCTGGCCATCGAGTAAGTCGGCAAGTGCATACAGCCAGTGCAGGGACCAGGCTATAAGTTTGGTTGGGAAAAATGACAGGGGAGTGTGTCAGCTGCTAAAAACTTTCTGGCTTTTTAGACTTTTCCCTTTCTATACTTGAAGTTAAGCATAGGGTCAGAAGAACTTGCCCACTCTTTTGCCAAAGAAACTTTTAGGGGAGTGACTGATAAGGCAGATGTCATCAGCTCTGCAAAAGGACCTGGTTTCCCCATCCTTGTCCTTGGGCAGGGTAGCAGAGCAACTGGCTACTGCTCCTTTTCTGCACTCCACATCTGCCCGTGCTCCTGTCATGCTTCTTTCTGTAACTGCTCCACCAGACAAGATGATGTGCAATTATCTCTTCTGTGCACTTGTAAACAGAATTGGGATTGATTTTTGGACTCCCTTAAATATGACCCACAACAGAGGAGGTTCCATAACAAAATATGCCCAACTTTACAATAATTACGTGAGGGTCTGGTGCACCTGGTGATGCATCAGATCTGTATTTGGGCTGGTACCTGTGGTGGGCAAACTACGCAGATGCATAGTTTGGAAACAGCCCCAGGGGCCATGGATAAACCTCACCACCCACTTATCTCACCTGGGGCACTACTCACTGCCTCGAGCCTCTGTGATGAGTTGTGGGTTTGGTCACTCCTGGCGGGTTGCGCTGATGAAGCAAGGTGGTCATGTGCGCCGATAGATGCAGGTGAAAGTGAGACATGGTGCCCAGTTTTAGCTCCCTCAGTACAGTCAGCTGGAAGGGGGCAATTTTTTTGTATTAACAGAGCGAGTCCACCTGCTCATCTCCTTCCACAGTAGGATGGTTGTGGCAGCGCTTCCTCCCTTCTGTGCCATGAAGGTACCCCAGTAATGCATGGAGACACACACAAATTTAGAAGCTCATATATTGTTTAGTGGCGGGGGTGACCCTGACTGGACTTCAGGTGTCCAAACAAGGCACTTTATCACTCCCTTCCCCAGGTGGACAGGTGAAAAGAAGTATAAGAAAAGGCTCGTGGGTCAAGGTAAGGACAGGGAGAGATCACTCACTAGTTACTGTCATGGGCAAAACAGACTCCACTCAGGGAAATTAATTTATTGCCAATTAAATCAGATAAGGCTACTGTGTAAAAAAGATTCTCCCAACCCTTGCTTTCTTGGTGGGCATAACTTCACTCCTGATTTTCTCTGCCTCCTGCCCCAGCAGTGCAGAGGACAGGGAATGTGAGATATGATCAGTTCATCACACATTGTATCTTGCTCCTTCCTCCCTCTTCCTCTGCTCCAGCATGGGGTCCCTCTCACAGGAGAGAACCCGTCACAAACTTCTCCAACATGGGTCCTTCCCATGGACTATAGTTCTTCATGAATTGCTCCAA